GCATGTGCCCGGGGAGACAGAGGGATGTGCGGGGAGACACTCAGATCCATACAGGCAAGGAGCTACGACTAGGGCCGGGGCAATGGCACCCGCCACACCGCGTGAAAATTTCGGGAAAGCATTCAGGTTCTAAAGGCCTGTGGGGATGGGCTATGCCAAGGCCAGAGGCATTCTGCCTCTGCGCAATGTTGCAAGGGCAGACAGGCCAGAAGTGCCTTCTTGCCTGGCCCTGCACTGCTACTGGCAGGGAGCCACGTCTTCCTGGCCCGATCCACCCATCTGCCCAGGTGCTTAAAGAAACTTTCGTTGGCACCCCCTTGGATTCAGGAGCTCAGGAAGTCATGGACCACAGGGCAGGGCTTGGTAACCGGCTCACAGGAGTTCAAGGAAACTCATAAACATGTTTTCCCCCCTCTACAGTGTAAAGGGAGCCCTGTGTCCTGGGATTCTGTTTCCCTCAGTTCCTTGGAGGGCTCCGAACGACTGTAATTGTCAAGGTATCCCCAGTGCCATTTCCTTCCATCCAGCAAGTCAGGAACAAAGACATCCAGGAGAAGGTGTGTTCCATAACAAGATGCCCTGAGCTCTTCCAGGTGTGCGGCTGGTGTCCTGACCCCATGGCCAATCGTCATTTGTTGCCAGGATCAGATTCCCCCTCCACTCATCTGCTCCTGATTTGCGGTGACTGAGGTGGGAAGATCCGTCTGTGCCGCTCGCCATGTTCCTGCTGCTGCTGCTGCTCTGCTGGCTCGTTCCTCAGGCCACACAGAGGATGTGGCAGACCCCGTGCATTGTGAGGGGGACGTACAGACAGCCACAAGACTATTTCAGCCCCGGAGAGCTGATTGTTGGCGGGAATCTGCGCCTTGGCTATTTTTATTTCAATAGGATGCATGACTTTGCTAGCTTATCTCCCTTGCCGTTCTCCGGCACAGCAGCATAAGTTGCTGCACAAGGGCTGTGGGTGGCAGGTTCAGAGCTTGCTCTGAGAGTAAGCAGTTCCTTGCCGGGATCTGCAGCAGCACTTTTGCTCCCACACGTCCTTTTCTAGTTCAACGTTTGACTATATCATGCTGGGCTTGAACCTTTAATGAGAATGTGCAGCATGGAAGTGCGTCTTCAGCTTCTGAGCACCAGAGTCCGTTCTGTGCTTTAGTGTGAGCAGTGAGTGTGGGATTTGTGCGCATGAGTGAGCATGGAGGGAGGGTGCCGCTGCTTGGAGGATTTGGTTAGGGGAGCTCCATGAAGGGACGGGGAGGGAGATTTGGATTTTGTCAACTCCATGGAACCAACTGGAGCATGAGCAGATTTCAGCAGGTTTGGAAAACAGTGTTCAAGATTCAGCTTCCCATGAACAGTTTGGTAACACCCAAAGAATGTGGGGATCCAGGAGTGGCTATGTGTCCTTTCACATTGCTTTGTTGAAATCCTGGACTCTGCATTCTTTACCAAGAAGTTCACATTGCTGGCTCAGTGCGATTCTGGGCTAGGAATGATGGGGGCCATTGTGGAACAACACCATGGATCCAAGTTGGGGAACCACTACCGGTACTCGCTTTGCTTGGTGCTTAGGCCATTTTGCAGCAAAAAGCAATCAAATGAGAGCTTGAGGAACAAACACGCTGTCCTCTCTCCCAGTGCCACTCCTATTCCAGCATCAGTGTAAAGACCTACCAGGACATCCTGGCCTTGGCATTTGCCATCCACCAGCTCCGGAAGCATCCCGTTCTCCTGCCCAACACCACTCTGGGCTTCCACGTCCACGAACACAGGGACATTGCCAGAACGATGAACTTGAATAACTTTGCCCTGCTTTCCACACGGGGAAGATTGGCTCCCAACTATAAATGTGACAGGCAGGACACGCTGCTCTCCGTGATTGGCGGATTCGACTCGGAATCATCAGGGCAGGTGGAATCCATCATCAGTATCTACAAAGTGCCACAGGTGAGAGGCAGAAAAATAGGGGTTTCCGCAATATGCAGAAACTGCAAGGTGGAAAGACCAGTCTCTGAAAGAGTGCTGTTAGCGTGTGGTGCTGTAATTCTGGATGACCCCATGAAATGTTTGTCTCAGTGGAGCTCCCTAGACCAACCCTTCTCTGAATTGCGTCTTTCAGCTTGTTTATGGCTCATTCGACCGTATTCAGAGAGAGAGAAGGGCCTTTCCTTCCTTGTTCTGGATCAACCCAGATGAATTCCCTCTGTACGTGGGCTCAGTCCGGCTGCTGCTGCATTTCCAGTGGAACTGGGTTGGGCTGGCCACTCCCAGTGATAGTGCTGGGGAAGATTTCGTCCGGATGCTGACACCAATGCTCAAGCAGAACGACATCTGTGTGGCCTCCACGGAAATGGTAGAAATTACTGGGTTGGATTCTGCATTTAAAAAGCTCCCTCTTTACCGTTCTGATTCTTGGCCTGATTTCCTAGTGATGATTCTTTATGGGAACTTAACAGTTCTATCCCTATTTGGTTTTCTCCAAATGTTGAAGCCTTCCTTAAGGATGGTTTGGATCTTGACATCCCATTTTGACATTGCTGCACCAGGGTCCCAGTTCGGTTGGCAAGGACTCCAACCCTTCCGTGGCACTCTGCATTTCATGGTGCACAGAAGGGATGTGCCGGGATTCCAACGCTTCCTCTTGGCTTTAGACCCCCTCCAGCCTGAAGGGGACGTTTTTCTCCACTATTGGTGGGAAGCAGCCTTTGGGTGTAAATTTCTGAACTCAAGAAAAACCCTCTCAAGGGGGAAGGTAAAGTGCACTGGGAAGGAGAAGATACAGGGCCTGCCATCTCTGACGTTCGAGAGGAGCATGAGCCCGCAGAGCTACAGCATCTACAATGCCGTGCATTCCGTGGCACATGCCCTGCATGCCATATTGTTGTCTGGATCGCAACAGAGTGACGCAGAGGGGAGAACAACTATTGTGACTGCTGAGCCATGGCAGGTAATGTTCCCTGCATCTTTGTCTATGCTGTAGCATGGGCTTTGCTTAAGCTTATTGCATTGTCGAAAGTGGGAAGCTAAGAGGGATGCTGGGAAAATTCCAAGAATCCTAAGAAAGTCATTCTTCATCAATCCCTTTTAATTTTCCTTTTTGGATCCTTTCCCTCAGGAGAGATGAGGCCGTGAGTAGAGAATCATGCATGTCAGAGGTTTTCTACATGGGACTGTGGGTGCCACTGAGACTTCATGGCATTCCAAGGCACAGCCTGAGAGCTCCTATACCAACACCGGTCAGAGGACTCTTTGAATAAGAAAGGCTGAAAAACATGCAGGCAGCCGGTTCTCTTTTCTGTTGGTGGACCTGCCAGGAATGAACTGTGCTGGGGGTTGGAAGTGCTCGATGCCGGTAGTCTAGACCTCCCCTTTGAGCTTTTCCTGTTAATTCTCCAAACATGTACATGCTCTGTGGAGGAGACTCCTCCATTGCTTCCAAAGCAACCCTTTGTTGAATTCTGCCAGGAGAGAGATGGGAAGTGATACCCGGCTGCCATTGCTGGATCTCTCAGAGGTTTTGATACCAGGGCCGTCTCATGCTCCCGAGGTGAGGGCTTGCAGAGGTGTGAGTGGGTGGGTTAATAGTTGGATGGCTGTTTCCAGAAGGGTGAGCTGGAGAAGGCCTGCTGGACCCAATGGGAATGAATGGGGGAATTCTGAGATAACCTGCATCTGCGGCCAGTGAAAAAGCAGAAGGCAGCTGAGGCAAATATGATCTTCCATGGTGGCCGTCAGAGAACATTCTAGGAGAGGAGGACCTGCCTGCAGTCAAGGTCAGGCTCAGCATCCCTTCCCTTGCAGATCCTTGCCTCCCTGCGGAATGTCCGGTTCAACAACAGTGCTGGGAAGGAAGTCTGCTTAAGTGAGAATGTCCAGAGATTCGACATCCTGAACTGGCTCTTCTCCCCAAATGGCACTTCAGATCCTGCTCAGCTCTGGGCAAGCGGAATCCAGAGGCTATGTTAGAGCTCCCACTGCTGGTTCTTGGGACCCAAATCTGTTATATGGAGTCCAAGATTTCAGGTCCGAGGCCCAGATGCTCTGTGTTGTTTCTTAACCCAGTGACATCACCTGCTTTTGCTCACCTGTGCTTCACCTCCTGCCTCCCCACAGCCTGTGAAGATGGTTTGGAAGCGTCAGTGGGTGCAAAAGAGTGTGCGTAAGGAATTTAGCAGAGCTGGGCATCCAACATATCAAAAGCACTTGGCACCCTCTTAGATGCCTCCTCATTCATGTGCCTGCCCATGTCGATCCATCAGGTCCTTCCCTACTCGGCCCACAAATCTTAGGGAAAACACAGAGGGGGGAATGTCCTTTTTCCTCCTCTGAG